TCAGCTCAGGAGCAGCTGCACACAGAGCCCAGGGCTGCTCTCCTGCTGTCTGCCCTGCCTCTGTGTCCACAGTGTGACAGCATCTCTCCTGAGTTTATGACCTGCACTCCTCTGTGATGTCTCCAGTCCTTTGCTGGGACTGTTAAGAATGAACAGAGTATCAATGTGGAAGCAAAAATGGCGCTGCAGTGGTGACCAGTATTTGATCCTGTAGAAACTCAGGGACTCTGGTGACCCCATGAGACTCAGGACAAAGATCTCAGGATTCACAGGGTCACAATTTGTTCTGAGAACAAGAGGGAAAATACCTGGCCCAGGCAAAAACACAGCACAGTACCACATAATTAATAAAATCAGAAAAGCTGCAGGAAGGGCTAACGTGGGAGGTGTGTGCCTAACAAAAGAGGCCCTGAGTTCAAAATAGGGGAGAGAGAGAGACAGAGAGACAGAGATAGAGATGGAAACAGAGACAGCACAGCTCACTGACTCAGGAATATTAACAGGCCTCAAATCCTGCCTTTCTCCCTCACCTGTAGCACTGGGCATGGGGCTTCAGATTTTTCCATTAATTCATTTTCTTCCTCTGTGATTCTCATATTCTCAGCCTACTTTTCTCTTTGTCCAACCTCCAAATGTACTTGGGGAACCAAGTCATAAAACACAGACTCAGCCATATCCCTGGAGCTCAACATATGGTGCCCTGGGAAACGTTGGTGGACTCCTCAGTCTCCCCTGACCAGGGCCTCTTGCTGTTCTCCAAGGGACCTGGAAGTGGACACAAGGAGTCTGGATTGGACTGGACAGACAACAGGCCATGTGCATGTAGACTGACCTTGCTGGGCCCCGTCTGCCCTGGAGTTTCCTCCATCACGATGGCTCTGGAGTCCTGTGGATGTCCCGTCTGGGATGGAGGCCGGGTCCCTGTGGCTCCGTCATGAGCACTGTCACTGTGCATGCGCATTGTGGGCACGAGGGGCTGGGCCCAGGTGATCTCACAGCAATCTGACTGAGCTCCCTGCATCGCGGACGCCCCCTCACCTGCTCAAACAGGTCCTTTTTTTCCTCCAATACATCCTGATCAGAAAAGGGCAAGCTTCACTTCCTGAACAAGAACGTGTGTGTGAACTCCACAGGATTTAGGAAGATTTCTGAGTTTTGAGGTTTTCCCATGGACAGTTTTTGCGGATGAGGAGACAAATCATTCGTCTCACCAAGAGACATCTATTACTCTGTCCATGTGGAGACTCTGGTGTCTTGGGTCCTCATTTGGATGTGAAAACTCCTCATCAGGAGGAGCTGGTATCTCGTAGCACAACACTAATCATTGTAAAATGATGAAGAAAGGAAAGATTTCACCAAAACAAAATCATCAATACTTTAGAGCATGTGTCTTCTTAGACTATTAGTCATTTAACAATGTATATCTGTATTGAATAATAACCAGTACCTGTTAACATATGTCCTTTATAATAATAACTAAATTAATTAATTGGTAAACAAATGCATTGGCCCTGCCTCTGCTCTTCCTGCCCCAGCTCTCCTCTGTGTCTGCCCTACTTCTGCTCATCCCCTGACAGCCTCCCAGGGACTTCTCCATGTCTGTGTCTGTAGTCATCCTTGACTGTCTGCATCAGATGTTCTGCTTTCCACTGTGAGGTTTACTTAAACATAGGGAGACTTCACTTCAACAAAGCACGGAGAATAACACATTGGGGAAACTGACTTTGCCATGATCTCCAAGATCAGACCTGAGGAAGGCTAGAGATGAAAAACACAAATCCACCCAAGCCTAACGAAAATGCTGCCAACAAATCTCCCAGAAACATTGAGACATAATGAAACATATATACAGATATACAGAATTCAAGACTATTAGGAAACACATTTACTATCATGTCAAATGTAACCTGTACATCAATGTATTACTAGATTTTAGGCAACCAGCAGCAGCTTAGGTTAGCTACCATCATCTCCATGAACATGCCAAGGTGTGTGATGCTATGATATTACAACAATCACAAGGTCACTAAATAATAGGAATGTTTTATCTGCACCATAATTCTGTGGGACAACTTTATATATCTTGATCATCACTTCCCAAACATTGTTGTGAGCTGAGCTGCTCATAGCTACGTGTTCTGAACGGGAAGTTGGCAAGATGCATGGCAAAGGCCATTCTGATGTTTCTCAGATAGAACTTAGGGACAGGGCAGTGGAGCATGGAGCACAGGACATCCTAGGGAGAACGTGGCAGAGGAGGGCTGAGATTAAAGTAAATGTCCAACAAGAGAACAGATAAAGGAAATGGGAAAGGTGTGGACAATGGAATAGAACTAACCCACAAACTGGGGAGAGAGACTGTCATTTGTGATAGATCTAAAGAGAGTTAGATTAAAGTAAATAAACCAACCATAGAAACACCAGTATCATGTTATGTCTTATTTCCAATAACTAATATATGTCTAAGACAAACAGAATCTATCAGACAAGTTGATGTTAGGCAAAGTGAACCCCAAGATAAAGATTCAAATGACTTATCTTTCTTGCGATTGTTTCTAACATATTTATAAGATGATTTTTTGTTGCTTTGTATGTCCCTCCCCCACGGTATAACCCCTGCTTTCACTGTAATTGATGTTGGTATAATGTGTGGAGAGGAAGGGAAAATAATTGTTTAAATAGGGATACAGGTGGACACATTGCAACAATGACATGTAGAAGTCGTTATGTCAAAAAACAAACTTTCAACTTTTGCCTGGGTACAGGGGAGAGGGGGTGGGGGGGAGGAGCAAGGGAGAGGGGGATGTGGGAGGGAGAGAAAGAAAGGAATGGGAAGGGGAAACAAAGGAGGTGTCAACAATGCTTGATAAGAAACGTACTCATGATCGTGATCATGTAATTGTAACCACCCTGTACGGTATTTCAACAACAAAAAAATTTGCAAGCAAATAAGGAATCCCATGGTTTTTAAAACATTTTGAAGAACAAATACTTTATCAATAGTTACCAAATCAATGTTTACCTATAAGCACTGTATGTTACATGTAGTGATTCATTGAGGTTATCAAAATATACAATACATGGGATACAGTCAGAAATGCAGAGTGCATAGGAACCACAAAAACAAA